AACATGTACTCTTACGTTTTCGATTATATATTCCATCTCCAGCCAGGATTCGAATATTTATATTTCGTGTATTTATAGTATCTATCTCCATATTATTTGTTTCGACAAGAGGAGATCGAGTATTAAGTATATCAGAATCTGTAATATTATCATGTTTTACAATTTCGTTATATTTGCTAATTTGTCTGATGGCATCGAAAAACTCTCTATTTTCTTCATCTTCATGGTCTGATTCTAGAAAGACGTAATTAGATTCTATAGAAATATAACAAGCAATTTCCAAGGGATTAAGTCTTGTGCCTATATCTAATATTTGCTTAAACACTTGCAATAATTCTGCTATGGAATTTTTTACTGGCTCATAAACAAATAAATCACTATATTGTGGAAAATGAGATTCTAAAGCATGTTTAACCACACTCATTTTATCGTTTAATACATTAATATGTATTTTATTCTTTGGCACATCTATGAAAGTTCCTCCTACACTTGTATCATATTGTTCTAGTAATGACTTTAGAAGTCCATCTACATGCGTTAAAATCTCTTCGTAACCCAATAGCGTAGGTAACTCATTATAATTTACGTTCCATAATTTCGCTAATGGTTCTTCATAAGCATTAACTGCCACCACCAGATAAGTTTGTAAAGCAGAAATAATTAATAACAAATTAATTAAAAAATTTAATTTCATGGTTGTAATAATTTATACTATATGATAGTAATGGCAAAATAAAGGAAAAAAAACAGGTCGTGTCATTAACTAAAGCACATATTCCAGTATTAAATATTTTTTTTTAATTAGACATTGAATAAGTTCAATATCCGTGATAGATCATTACATTTGTGCTATAGAGAAAAGCGTAATTTGCCATTCGCTATTTTCGTTAATATTTACTTTGAATCAAATATACAAATATCGTTAAAGTAGGTGTGATCTATACTAAATTGATTCTATTAAATAATTGATATCAGTGTCACCAGAAGATCACCAGAAGATTTATTTTGTCAAATTGATTTGCTAAATCATTTAAAATCGTTTAAATGAAGAATATAATAGTAAATGAAAACTACAATAGCATAAAAATTCATATAAATATAATACGACAGGGTGAAACCGCGCTGTGAATTATTAAAGTCCGCTACGTAGATCACATGAGGGTGAAATTCGCTTTTTTTTTTTGGCATAATTAAAATCATAGCTAAACGCGGATTTAACCCCAACGTGATCTACGTAGCGGATTTTACTAATTTACAACGCGGATTTCACCCAGTCCTAATATAATTATATTTGAAACTGTGAGTTGATAGATTCACGTGTAGGCGCTTTGATCTTATTAAAAGCCTACAGTGTTGTTACAAGAGAATGGTGAATCAAATTTTATACTATATATACTCCGAAAATTGGACGTTAATATAAAACTTAGTAAAAGCGAAACATCATCCAAAAATATGAAATAAAACATTATAAAAAATTTTTTTGTTAACCACCGTCGGGACGCTGGAAGGCGTTTATTTAGTAAAAAAATTTATGTTTCAATTTTTGTGAAATCCATATTTTTTTACAGTATATATTTTTTAAGTTAGTGCAATTTGCGTAATTAATTGGTATTTCAGTGGTAATTCTGAAGACTTATAATAAATCTCATCGATAATATTCATTTGCAATAGAAATAGACAAAATTGCTCTGGAAATAAATTTCGATGTGGAAATTGTTTGGCATAAAAAAGTGTAACCTTTACGGATCATATGGCGATTTTTCGATTTTAAAATAATTTTACAGATTCAGAATAAATATAGATGACGCTGATTGAAAATATGGATGATGGTAAGGATGAAAACAAAGCAGGTTTAAATACTTTTTTACCTTTTTAAAACAGGTGATGAATAAAAGCCCGAATAGTTATATTTGTTTTTAAATATATTAAGAACATAATCATTACCTGTTTTAATTACGTAATAAAAATTTTCCATCCCTAGATGCATTACAGTGCATTTGTGGAATTAAGCAGATAATTGGTCACTAAATCCAGGCATTATTTTCGCTCAAGATCAATTGTAACAAAGTTATTTATTTTGAGATATGGGAATAGTGCATGCTGCCTCAGCAACTACAACAAAGTTGTTTAACTTCACAGATTTGTATGAAGTTTGTAGATCTACTTATACATCAATAGCATGAGAACGGTTTGGCGTAACCACAGCATGTAAATATCACAGCACATAAATAATATGAGAACGGTGTGGCGTAATCACAGCACGTCAATATCACAGCACATCAATAACATGAGAACGGTGTGGCGTAACCACAGCACGTTAGTAATGACAATGCATGGCGCAAACGTGTTGGTGTTCGCTACAAAGCAGCTGTCCAGAGAAACGTACGTGGTTGCCGTGTTGGTGTTCGCTACAAAGCAGCTGTCCAGAGAAACGTACGTGGTTGCCGTGATGGTGGTGAGTGGGAGGGAGTTTCTGACAGAGCCAGAAAGCTACACTTTCGGGCAACAGCAGCGGTAGTTCTATCAATACTGGTTAAATTAGACGAATTATAAATTGATTATGTATTATAGTATAGATAGTTTTTAAT